CTGGGAACGGTGGCGCACGCCTGTAGTTCCAGCTGCTTGGAAGGCTGAGATGGAAGGATTGCCTGAGCCCAGCAGGTGGAGACTCCAACTCAAAAAACAAAACAGAACAAAACAAAAAAGAAATTAGAAAATATAATAAGAATGAACCACAACACCAAAAGCAAGAGTCCTTTTTTATCATGCTTCTCCAATCCAGGGTACACCCACTAGATTCCCACAAGTGGGTTGTACTGGGGGTGGGGTACCATAATAAGTCACTTTTTCCTATCCTTTATAATCTCCAATGCCCTTAAGTGCGTCTTCAGCTTTCTGGGAATTGTGAACCCTAAATTTACAAGGTCAAAAAAAAACATGGAACATTTTCCAAAAATTAGATTACAAATTATAGAAAGAAAAGTGTTGTTTTAGTATTCTCTTCCTGTATTAGGTTTGAGTCTCTCCCTCTTCCATTTCTCTCTCTCTCTCTCCTTCTTTCATTCTCTTGCTCTCTTTCTCTCCCTCCCTCCTTTTCTCCCTCTCCCTCCCTCTTTCCCCTCCCCTCTCCACTTCACCACACACAGAAACCCCTTTTCAAAGGGGCTTTTTTCCAACTCAGTGAAGTAAAGTCTTTGCCCCTTTGTGGGGAAGGCTCATTAACATTCCCACAGCAGCATCTCTTCAAGGATTTTACTTTTGTAACTCTGTGGGGAGGTCAAGAGGCCACAGTGGAGAGGTAAAAGGAAAAAAAATGGTAAACTGGGGAGGACAGAAGAAAGGAGAGGAGGGGAAAGAGCCCTTCCTTTCACAATAAGACCTGTAAGAAGGAGGAAGAAAAAATAGAAAAAGATGAAGAGAGTCAAAATTCAGGAAAGAGACAAATGTGGATGCCCAAATCTACCCCCTTGGAGATTTCATAGACTCCCAAGAAAAACAGAAAACTATGTTCCTTCTTTCCTTTCTTTTCTCCATGAGGGAAATAAATGATGGAAACAGAGGAATGAGAGAGTGACAGGACCCAGTCTATCCCACTGAGGAATTAAACGCTTTCCTGGACTGTGTTCCTATCTCACCTACAATGATCTAGTAATAAATACTGGCACCTGTCTACCACAGGAAAGTTGACAGGATGAATTAGACAACAAGAGTTCCAAGGGTGGACTTGAAGAAGCCACCCAGAGTCCTGATACCGAAAGACTGGAAAAATAACGTGGATTCAGTGAATTATAAAGCAAAGATCAGAGCACCTCCCAAAACTCTTCAGATGTGGCTACTTGCCTCAGTGATCACCAACATCCCCCTTGCCATCTGCTATCTCTCCCCTCTCCCTCTCTCCCTTAGTTTTGCCAAACTTAGCCTTGATTTGTGTAAGGGAAGAAATGCGTGAACCTTCTATTTTGTACCCAAAGCTCTGACTGATCTTTGCTTTTCTCTGAAGACACAGTCATTAGTGAGCTTCTATAGAGGAATACGAGGCCTGATTAGGCCAGCAGCAGTTGGGCAAATTGAGGAAGGAAATCTCAGGATGATATTTCACAAATGTTACAAAGAAACTTGCTGATAACAGCAAAGAGTTGTAAAAGTTGGTTAGGCCATGAGCCCAGGGGTTCGAGACCAGCCTGGGCAACATGGCGAGACCTCATCTCTACAATAAATCAAAAATTAGCCAGGCATGATGGCATGTGCCTGTAGTTCCAGTTACTTGGAAGGCTGAGGCGGAAGGATCGCCGGAGCCCAG